GCAATCAATCGAAGAATCATCCAGCACTTCCTGCAACAACATCTCATTATATTGATTAACGTCCGTTACCGAGCAACAACAACAATATTATAATGACACATAATAAAATATGGTCACGCACTAACTCTCAATCAACGATAAATAACACCACCGTCGCCATCAACATAACGACTTCGATGCTAGGAACGATGCACCAAGAATTGAAGACGGAAATGTTCTCAATGACAGAAATAATTTTGAAAAATTGAATGAGAAAATCAACATGAACTCACGTAATATATAATTATATCGAGTTAGTTTACGTACAATTGATTCAACTATAACAAAAATATTAAATAACGTATTACTTCCATTGGTTGACATGAGTCTAGATTCAAATCTTGAAACAAAAAAAAAAAAACTTAATTGCTCTACATGAACTTGAAACATCGTTCTGTATTCATACACAATATGTGCGTATGAACTTTAACACTGGTTGTAGCACACAACAACTAAATACCATTGATCCATCGACATCAACTTTAATGGAAGACTCTGATCGAACAATAGAGGGGGAAATTAGTGCTGATGTCAATGCAAGTGCTTTTTATTCATGAACAGTAGTAAATAAAATAGAAAAGATAAAGAACAGCTAAGAAACTGTGAATTTTTTGAAAAGATGATGGGTCTAAAATGTCAACTTGTTTAAGAGAGTGATATTCTATGCGTCTGACTATAATATTGCCTGATTGGGAACATTTTTACATACATCTTAAAGGTATTAATTTCTCAATGTTTGCGAGCCTCTTAAAACTTTGTCTGTATAATGTAGCAAGATGGAAAAGCCTCCCGCATACTCAACAAGAACCAATTCAGCAAAAATTTAGAGTAGCTTTGAGATTAGTTCACCGAGGTTCATGACTAGTAGCTCGGGAGCTGTATTCCTTCATCGACAAAAAAGATCTAGATTATTATGTTAAAACAATATGTAAGAAAAAGACTTTAAAAAATCTGTCTCTTTTTCAACGATATTGGGCTCTAGAGCGAATTTTAAAAAAGAAATAATGATGGACTAGGACATTATTGTCAGAACAGACCAATGAAAGAACTGAAAAAGAAACATAGATCTTTGTTAGGAATACGGTTAAAGTTTTCTGAGAATAAATAAATTAATGATGGCAACAACTTATGGCATAAACTTTCACCTTCTTTCCTTTAAAGTTTCTTGCTCATATTTCCCTTCTCCTTTTATAGCCTCAAGACGAACACTCAGTGCTTAGTCATGATTTGCGTATCAAGACTCCACGTGGGATGAAATGGGATGAGCTATCGTGAACTTTCTCATGTGGAATGGGATTAACTTCGAAAATTTTGTTCTATGTGAGGTGAGAGTACCCTGAAATGTTTCATCCCATGTAGAATGAGGTGACACGGAAAATTTTCCATCCCATCACATCCATCCCATGGAACTCCACGCTTGTCAAATATCAAAAAAATTCTGAACACATTTATTGTTTCCATTACTACTACCAAATTTTACCTCATTTCATCTTATATTTCATAATTTTTTCATAACCAAGTTCACACTTCGGCGAGAAAGACATTTATTTCGAAATGCTTAGGTTATTCGTAATGAAGAAAAAAAAGGTTGTTGTAAAACAAGGTAGTCCCATGGAATGGAATGCTTTTAAAGCCTTGCATGGGCTGCGATGGGATATTTCTCATATATTTTTCATCTCATGGAATAGGATGGGATGGGATTATTCCATCCCATGCGGAGTCCTGTTGTCTATACTTTACAATGATGTTTTGATGATAGTATGATTAATATTATGCTATCGTGTTCTCCTCTCTTTCTTATTGATCTCTGTTCTTCTCTTTTTCCTGTTTTCCTTTTTTTGTGTTCCACCACATTTGTAAGCACTCCAAAGCATCGCAAATGAAGTACAAGTATAATCAAAAACATCTTTTAAAATTTTAACATATAACAGAATTCATTAAAATATTCTACTTTGCATAATAGATGATGGGAAATATTTGATGTCAAAAAGATTATTGGTATTTTGTATTCTTCTTATCTATTCATCAGTTGACTAACATCAGAAAACGTCTAAGACTTAAAAATAAAAACAATAAATACAAGTTTGTTTTTATACTCTTTCCAAAAAATATCAGTATATAAGGTACTAAAATTAAGCAAACTAAAGAAAAAGTGAAGGTGTGTTTTGCACTCTTAAATTCGATTTTGGTTAGTACAGTTGTATGAACAGGAATATTCCAACGAGAGAAGGGAGGCGTCTCCTAATCTCGAAAAACTTTGTATTTTATCGTTGTTGATGATTTCCAACATTTTTCAAAAACTCTTCTTTCGTTAGATCAATTTTTAGAGTTTGCCCCTGATAAAAATAATCGACCTTCGCAAAAACAAAACCATTAAGTCCTTTCAATGATTACCATTTCAGGACAACAATATTTTAACATTTCATCAGCAAAATAAACAATACTATTATAAAATAATGTAATTTAGTTTTGAAAAATGATCATTTAAACTTGAATTAGCATTAAACATAAAATTATAAATATTGTTAAGGCAAATACACAGTTATCATATGAAATCCACTTCTTTTATGCATACTCTTAAAATTTTCTCAAACCATCTAATAATGAAAGAAATAAACATATAATATTAATAAAAGAAGAAGACAAAACTAAAATGAAAATTAATGAATGATCACAAAAAAATCATTTTCATTGTTCTTGATCATATTTTCTTTCAACAGTATCCACCATTTAGGATTTGAAAAATCAAGACAATTGTATAGAATTCCAAGTAGACTTGTAACTTAGCAAAATCATAAATCGAAGGAACTGGAGCATATCTATCAAAAGAAGAACAAGAAAACACACTATTCGATTGTTAGATTTTCTTGGTATGCTCGAACCCATTAATTTTCAACATAATCCGAGCACTGAGAATGCAGACATCTCTTTCTAAGATATTGAGGTGGAATTACTAGATTTACTTGAATCTTGTCATCTGAATACTCCTAGTGGGCGTTAAGTTCCGTGATTATGTGAAATTCTATAGAACTTCTAATTTCAACATCCTGAGTGTGCCTCTGAAGAGAAAAGATTATAAATAATTTTCAAAAAATACAATAATTTACTGTATAAATCTGAAGGGATCGAGCGTGCATTTGGATTATAATTAGATACAATTGTTTGATGAATGATACGTGCATACTTTAGAGATTTGGATTAATTCCGATTTTTTTTTATTGACTTTAATGTGATTTTTATAATCGTGATTGGTTTTGTTTTATGTATATTTGTTTTTTATGTCTGTATTATATCAATTATTTTCTTCTTACCAAAAGTAGCATGTTTAAGGTTTTTACTGAGAACAATTTTGAAATAAAATCTAAATAAACAAAATATACCTTGTTGTTCGATTTATTTAGCCAACAAATGTGTGATGCTGTTTTGTTTAAATTAATAGGATTCATAAAATAATTTCCTGGAAACCAAAAGACATTCGACTTTAGTCTTTTGAATGAAATTTGACCCCCGCACACCTTGACGTTGAGTACATATAAACAATGTGTGAAGTGTGAACAAATAATTGGTTATAGATACTTCAGCAGAATCAACGTTTGGTTTGTCCTCTAAGACAGGCAGAATTTTTAATCGTTTGTAGTAGAAACCGTGTAAGCATGTTCTTTATATGTTCATAGAATTTTTTTGTATCTATCATTGATTAATTTAACTACAGTCGCTGCATCATAAGATTAATGAGTTAAATTAACTCATCAAAGAATAATTATAAGATAAAAACGGATACATTTTTTATGAAGATTGACATTCATTGATTACTTATAAATTTCCGATCCTTTTTATTATTGAAGAATGACGTTTTCATAGATTATATACACTAGTCTTTTGTTGCTTTCTCTTATATGAATTCATAATCGGGGTTTTTTTGTGACAAAGAGGATTTTTATAAGAAAGATTAAATTAAACGAAAATATTATTTTTTACCCATGTAATATGTTATTTATTTGAAAAGTAATGTATTCAACAAACACATTTCTTTCGGACTATTTTTAAAATTAATTATAAATTTCTATTCATTTGAGACATAGTAAGCGTTGAATGAATTTTTCGGAAAAAGACCTGTGTATTGTTTAGATAAAAAGAATAAAAATAGACCCAACTGAAAAACAACTATCAATAAAAAATTTTCTTCTTTGATCAAGGTTTTTCCAAAGAGATTATTTCTGTATAGACCTTCTTTCATATGATGAACGTGTATTAATATATTTTTTTTTTCTGTCTGTCATGTAAACGTCCATCAAAACTTTCTTTTATATATGAAATTGTAAAAAAAAAAATCTAATGAGACATTTTGTTCTACATTAATATTAAAAAATCTATGACGTTTATCGACTTTGTCTTTCTTTTATCATGTGATAATAAAAAAAAGATAAAGTGCACGATACTTTGACATCAAGTAATTGAAATCCTCACCTATAATTGTCTAATTACAGATAGATACCTTATCACTACCATTTCATCATTCAGTCATGAATACCTGTTATTTTATTTTCAATGTCCTTTTGTTCTTTTTCTTTTTCTTTTTCTTTTTCTTTCTACCTTCATTTTCTCATTCTTCACCATGTTTGTCGACAACACCGTTACAATTTTTGCTGAGCAATGCGTGACATAAGATTAATCATCGAAAAATATTCAATCGGAAAGAATAACAACAGCCATCATTATCGTTTTCATAGGAGTGTCTCTTGTTCTCGCATTTTCTTTCATTTTATGCACGTTGATGATTACTATATGAGTAAGAGTAATAGAGAGAAGGAGAATGTTGTAGCTGAGACAGCATCTAAAGCAGAAGAAAAGAAATAGTTGTTTTTTTCATATAAATCGTTCGTTCTTCACTGGCAGAAATTTTTTGATGCACAACCCATCAAAACACAACTATTGCATGAATCGTATGTGAATAATACGACATGAATACATTAATGGATACAAATAGTGAAGTAAGCATATTCTCCATACATTAAAATATTCAAAATATGTTTTATCTTTTGTAGAACAAACCAAATATTTTACGAAAAAAACCATCATTTCGACAAGATGGTTCTTATCGAATATTTCATATAACAAAAAAAAACAAAGACGAAAGTGATGATGAGGATAATTTACACATAAATAATGAACAAATAATTAATACAGAAAATCATATAAAAACTAGATATCAAAAAAGATCTTTAAAAACATCTAATCGAAATGGAATAGTATGTTTAAATAAATCATAACACAACAAAAAATAGGTTTATCTTTTTCAAGGAAAGATGGAAAAGAAAAAGTACTAAAAATAAACGTTTATTATTTCTTTCTAAAGCATCATGTGAATCAACATCAAATGAAGTTATGGATTCTTCATTATCAAATCAGTTGATAAATAATTCAGTTCAATCAATCATTTCTGTAAATGACTACCACTTTATTTGCATAAATAATTTATTATTTTTAATTTATTTAGGGTGATATAACATCAAAACAATTCGTAACAAATAATCAACAATCTGATAAACAAAATGATATTGATGAATTATCTCAATCAGATACTTTAATAGAAGCTGTTAATGAGCACGTCGCTCATGATGATGCTGCACTTGATAATTTACTTGCTCGAGCTGACAAACTTGAAATAACTGTTAAACAACAAGTTAGCTATATCATTTTTTTATCTGAAAAGAAAATAGTCATCATTTTTTTTATAGGATTTCAATAAAATTCAACCAATGTCACTATCATATATTCATCGAAGACGAAAACGTTGTATAATCGGTTTTAGTACTGTTCTAGTAGCATTCATCATAATAATAATTATTATAATATCTGCTGTAGTTTTGACATTAAAACATAGAGCTCATGCGAGTTGAATACCAAAGTCTTCATCAATTTATAATCCATATAGATGATATTTTGTTTTTTTTTTTTGTCTTTTGTGATATTTTTATTTCTATTGCATATATTTATATATTTAATGTATGCTTTTGTCCCCGTTATTTTATGTTTTATTTCAATTCCACCAGAAAAAAAAACATGAATGAAGATTGAAATTAAAATTTTAGAAGACATTTCAATTCTATAATATCTACCTTTTTTAATCTTTTAATTAAAAAAGGCTTAAATATCTGAATTTTAAGACAGCATCCACCAGACTATTACTCAAGTCGCCTATCGATAGATTTTTTTATTAATTTTTTTAACTGAAATGAGAGATCATATCGTAAAACTTATGAATCCAAAATATTATGTTTTTCTGACGTACTTGTCAAAAATGCCGAAGATCACAATCCTTTAATTTTTATGGTTAGATCGTAAAGATTAAAAAAAAA